AATTCTGGCACTTTATACCCTCCAGGCCATGGATATGCTTGGTCTACCCAATCAGGATATGGCTTTGTGTAAGTCGGCCTAATGACAGGATGTACCCCAAAAGCCATCTGATCCTGTATTATTTCCATAATTTGATTCCTCAACATGACGTTGGGCTCATATGGAATTCCTACAGGTTGGTTGACTGGTTGATTTGCTTGAGGCCTGATATTTGGTCCTTGGTTGGCAACAAAGTTGCCATGATTTGGGTCATTGTTACCATTAGCCTGAATATTTACTCCATCATTAACATGTGGGGCATTCTGTCCATTATTTAGGACATTGTCTCTTACGTTTAGGTTACCCCCCAAGTTAGATGTACCATTACCACTATTTTGATTTGGCATTACACCATCCCCTGGTTTGAAGTAGAGGGACCAAAAGGTGATTCTACCCCTTGATTTGGACTTAGGACTGGGGGATTATGTCCCACAATTGTCCTAGTTTGGAAGTGATTTGCAAGAGGTACGACTGGCTGACAAATTTGGCCTACTGACTTATTCATTATTTCATTCAAAGTATTCAGTTGTTTGGCCATGTTATCATAATGTGCATTCCCATTCTGGGTAAGTCTTTTCATATTATGAATATTTCGTAGATTTACCTATTCAACGACATCCTGTGTGAGTTCTTCAAGTAATGCACGCATAGTTCGAGGACTCAACTCTGTCATTGGTTCGTAACGACTATGACTGCTCTGATTCTGTCTATCTGTTCGTGGAGAACTATGCTGCTCCTCATATCGCTCGATCATAAACTGGACTCCTCCCTGACTTGCTTTCTTTTCAGATTTTTGAGGCATATCGTTTCACCTTTTGCATCTCCAACACCAAACACCAATGTCCCACTGGACGTGCCAAATTATTTCGTGCGGGTAGTCGTTAACAATTAAAAAGGGATTGTGTAAGGAACAAACCTCTTGAGACAAAGTCCCAAAATGGGTGTTTTATTGGCGATGACTTTACAATTCGAACTAAACAGAATGCCTCCAAGGAGCGCAAGCACATGAGTACTGAAAAGAAGTGTTTAAGTCTAAACTAAGAAATTGAAATTACATATTCTCTGTTTGAGAGTGTTTGATTCGGGGTCTTTGCTCTATGTCTTCTCTTCCTTTTATATGCCCTTGATGATTTCTTTGTGATCAACCGTTTAGAAACTGCTTGATTGCTTTATAACTACCCACTTTCTTTATGGTGGCTAACGTATCGTGGAACTGCCGTCTCTAACTGCTGCCACTACTCTTTGTTGTTCAACCGTCTTCAACTGAACTCCTTGAATCGTGGAACGTGATAAGGTTACTCAATAACTGCTTCAATAAGTGCACTTCTGGATAACCATAACATCTTATGTTTGCTAAGATCCTGGGCGATCCGAAGGTTTGGGTGAGAATAGGGTCATAGCTCTGGGCGACTGTAAGGTACTTCATTCGCTCAGATCTTGGGAGTCTTGTAAGCTTGGGCGATGATGTTACCATGTTCGTGGGCTTCCACTACATTCATTAATAACTCTATCTGGGCCTTTATCCTGAATTGCCCAATTGGGCTTCATTTTTTGGGTTATTTGATTTGGGAATTCCCCAATTGAGCTTCATTCCTTGGGCTATTCGATTTGGGCTGCACTTTTAGTGTGTCAACACATACATTACACCTATACATACACAAGATATAAAGAGATAGAGAGAGAAGATTTACATAAAAGATACGAGTCTATCCAAATTTTTCAAGCTATGGGTCTAAGCAATTTTTCACTTGAAATTTTTACCTTGTTACTTGATCTACTGTTTCCATTTTGTTCAATTTCCTTGTAAGATAAGACACCAGCTCTTTGAATCCTAAAAGTGTAAACCCTTTGAATTTCAACCACTTTCCGTAATTAATTCTTGTATTTTCTCACTGCCCTTCCGTATTCTTTCTTTAGGGCTTGTTTATGTTGGTGGAATTAATTGTTCTGTCCAAAATCTATTTCCAAATTTATTTGAAGAATAGATTTTGTTAATCTTTTATGTTTTCTCTTTTTTGAGAATGGAGAAATATCAAGAAAATCAGCCAAATTCAATCATGGAAGATGACCAAGATTCAGACGGAGCTGAGACAGTGGCACCATCATATGTTCCCGCCAACAAACCACTGTGGGTGAAGATCAAGTTTCCGAACATGAAAAAAAGCATGGAGGAAGAAGTTATGAAGGATGGCCCAAAAGTGAGGATCATTTGTGTTTGGAGTACAAAAAGAGATTTAGCTCCAGCAAGGCATTGGGTGGTCACATGAGCAGTGCTCATGTTTAGGGCAACAAAGATTTCTCTCTCAAGAAGCTGAAATCAAAGAAAAAGAGGCAGCCGAAGCAACTTGTGGGCTTAGGTTTTCCTTCTAGCTGTGGCGGAAAAAGTATTTGTAAGATCTGTTATAGGGAATTTCTAACAAAGAAGTCCTTATTCGGGCACATGAGGGCCATTCTGACAGGGAGTGGAGGGGGATGGAGCCACCAGATGAAGCGGCGATAAATTTTTTCGAGCCGAAATTTGGGGCTATGAACAGGCGCCGAGCCAGCACCCCGCGAGGGGGCACGGCCGCGCGCGCTGGCTCCATCGAAATCTACAAAGCCGTCGGGTAAGTAAGGACTAAGGAGTTGCAGACTGCAGTTGCGCCATTGGAGAAGAACTGAAGAAGGAAGACGAAGATTGAAGGGTGAAGGCACAGTCGGGTTTTAATTTTTTTGGTTGGGTTTGGGCTTAACTCTTAAGTATATTAAATTTCTGGCTATTGTTATTTAATTTATTTAGCCCAACCCAAATGAATTTAGCCAACTCGTTAGTGTTACCCATAACCCATTTTATTTGCCCTCCCAATTCCCAGCCCCAACTCCAAGCTAGCAGAAGACGAGAGGCAGCAAGCGCAGCGCCAAGAATTGCGATTTTTCCCCAAATTACCAAGCCCTTTTCCTTAATCTCACTTCTTCTTGCTCCAAATTCACACCATAGACTTCAGGCATCAGAATTTCGAACCGGTGAGTGGTGACTCCTTCTTTCACTCTTTGTTATTATTTTTTTTTTGGGTTTCGGTGTTGATGATGTGCGTAAAAATGCTAACAAATTTCAAGAATGGGAATTTGAAGAGTAATAATCCTGTCTCCTGAGTCCTGAAGGAACGTGTGTGTGAGTTGTGACTTGTGCGAGTATGTGACAGTGCAAGACAGTGAAAGGCGAATGTCGATGGGGTTGGAATTTTATGTTCTTGACTTGTGAATCTGTGATTTGTGAAGCAGTGAACTGTGAAGTGATAAATGGAATTCTTGAATGGAAAAGTGAGAATTTGAAGACGGGAATAAAGAATTTTATTATTATTCTTTTTTTGTACATACATTGTAGAATTAATTATACAATATATTGAGGTTAATAAATCGTTAGGCATGAACTTCCTGTTTAAGTTGTATGTTCACAGTCTAGTATTTACTATTGAGCAGTGAGCAGTGAGCACTGAACTAAGCAAAAATGAAGGGGACAAAAGTTGAAAACAAAAATGACACTCAGAATTAGAATTACCTTCTCATAAAGAATTTGACAACAATTTAATGGAATTGGATCTTTGCGATAATGTATTAGTGAAACATAAAGAATTTCTCCATAATGCTATAAATGGAACAAAAACATGAAATTAAATGTATAGTCTAGTTCCAGACTTCCAGTAAGAAACTTGTTGACATTAGGTTTCAATCCCCGTGTTTGATGATGAGTAATTTATGTTTACGAAATTGTATTTGCGAATTGTGATTTATGATGAGTAATTTATGATTTGATGAGGGAATATGATATTAGGAATGATTATTGATTTGGGAATTTACGTTTAGGATGACATTTTGCAAATTATGGAACGATTTTTTCAACCAAAACGAAAGTCCATACCCAATTCTTCTACTTCTAGTTGTGGGTCTAGTCCCGCCACTGATTCTAGTCGAGCACAAGAGTTATTGAATAACACAAAGAAGTCTCGGGCTGAATTTAATGTAGATGATCTTGTATCTGATCCAGGGATACGCCCCCCATCGAATCATATGATCCTAATATTAGAGATGTTGTTAGGATGGCATACTTGGAGAAGGGTCCTTGTCAACCATATGAACATGATTTCCCAAGAAGACCGATGGGGAATGATAATAGATGTTTTCGGAAAGAATGGTTCTCCGAATTTCATTGGTTGGAATATAGTATAGAAAAGGATGCGGCGTATTGTTTGCATTGCTACCTGTTCAAACCTGATAGAGGAGGTCAAGGGGATGGACGTATATTTACTAAGACCGGCTTTAGGGATTGGAAATACAAAAAGACATTGAAAGATCACGTCGGTCTCTTTGATAGTTCTCATAATCAAGCTTTTGCAAAGTGTACCAACTTGATGAATCAAAAGCAAAGTATCTCTTACGTTATTTCTAGCCAAAGTAGTAGTCAACAACAAAGTTATAGGACCAGGTTGACTGCAGTGTTAGATTGTACTAGACTCCTCTTGATGCAAGGATTGTCATTTCATGGTCATGATGAATCGAAAGAGCCTCTTAATAGAGGAGACCTAATTGAGGTATTGAACTGGTATGCAGCTCGTTGTAAGGAAATTAAAGAAGTATTATTTAGTAATGCTCTTGGAAATGACCAAATGACTTCACCAACCATCCAAAAGGATTTGATTAATTGTTGTGCTGAAGAGACGACAAGGGCTATTATTAATGAGATTGGTGATTATTTGTTTTCAATTTTAGTTGATGAGGCTCGCGATAATTTTATGAAAGAACAAATGCCAGTTGTTTTAAGGTTTGTTGATAAAAGTGGGCAAGTGAAGGAGCGTTTTTTGGGTATATCCCATGTCACTGATACTTGTGCCCAATCACTGAAGGATGCCATTGATGCAATGTTTTCTACACATGGGTTGAGTCTATCTAGTCTAAGAGGTCAAGGCTAGGATGGAGCAAGTAATATGTCAGGTGAGTTCAATGGGTTGAAAGCTTTAATTCTTAGAGAGAACCCGCATGCTATGTATGTTCATTGCTTCGCTCACCAGCTTCAGTTGGCAATTGTATCTGTGACACGTAGGAATTGTATGGTTGGTGATTTTTTGGACGTACTTGCTATTATTGTGAATTTGGTTGGTGCATCATGTAAGCATGTAGATGCTCTTCAAATAAGTTATCAATCTAAAATTCTGGAGAAACTTAATACTGGGGAACTTACTGATGGAAGTGGTCAGTTTCAAGAAATGAGTTTGGCATGCCCAGGTAATACTAGATGGGGCTCACATTTATTGACAATTACTCATTTCATTAATATGTTTAATGCTATTATAGATGTTCTTAAGAATATATCAGAAGATGGCGTACATTCAGATAAAAAATCTTCGGCCTTAAGACAGATGAACAATATGCAAGATTTTGAGTTTGTGTTCAGTCTTCACTTTATGTTTGAAATTCTTGCAATTACAGACGACCTTTCACAAGCCTTACAGAAAAAGGATCAGGATATTCAGAATGCTATGAGATTATTGAATTTGTGTAAGTGTGCATTGCAGAACTTGAGAGAGAATGGCTGGGATACTTTGTTCAGTAGGGTGATTGAGTTTTGTGTTGATAGATATATTTTAGTGCCTAATATGGAGGATATTGTAGTGGTGAAAGGTCGACCTAGGCGTGTAGCTCAACAGGTGACTTATTTTCATCACTTGTATGGTTGGTGAATTGTATTGACAGGTGACTTATTGTCATGTGATAGACTCAATCTTGCAAGAGTTGAATGATCGATTTTCAGAAACAACTACTGAGCTCTTTACTTGCATTTCATGCTTAAGTTCAAGAGATTCATTTGCAGCTTTTGATGAGGATAAATTGCTACGTCTTACTCAGTTCTATCCTTTGGACTTCAATAGTGAAGAACTTTTATTACTTAAACCTCAGCTTGATAAGTTTCTTTTGCTTGTGAGAATGAACGAAGCTTTCTTTAATCTCAATAGTATATCCTGTGTAGCTCAGAAATTGATTGAAACTAGAAGTTCCTGTTATTTTCCATTGGTTTATAGGCTGCTCGCCTTGGCTTTGATATTATCTGTGGCAACTGCAAGTGTTGAAAGGGTATTTTCTGCTATGAATCTAATCAAGAGTGATTTGCACAACAAAATGGGTGATATCTGGTTGAATGACAATTTGGTGGTTTACGTGGAGAAAGCTATTTTTAAACAACTTGAGAATGAGGCAATATTGCAACGTTTTCAAATTATGAGACCCCGTAGAATACAGTTGTCTAAGTTTATAGTTACAGAGTAACTGAGTAAGGTTGTATCGTATATTTTTTTTTACTATTTTGGGGTGTATCGAAATATATTTTCATATGTATACGATTTTGACGTTTTAGTTCATTTACATATATATTGAATAACTTTTAATATTATGTAACCAAATTTTAATAAACGATCAGACAATTACGATCGTCGACAGGGAACGATCGTCGATCAACGGTCAAACTGCCCTAGCTGAACTTGAATCCTGGATTCGCCACTGGCTATGAATGAGGTACCTTCACATGTTCTTGATGGTGATCAGGTTGATTAAGGTCTTGTGATGGCTTCTGCAGTGGTGGGTTTGAATGAATCTGTGAAGTGGCAGGTGAGAGGCAAGCGCGGCTGGTCTCCAACTAAGCCAGTCGTTGATTTGTCGCCTCATCCGAGTTCAATGGAAATTCTAGCTGTTCAAACAGCTCATAAGGCTTGTCAATGGAGATTCTAAACCTAGTGAAGATCTGGACTCCAAGGTTATGAAAGGTGAAGCCATTAGTAGCAATTATTGCACTCCTGAGGATGAAACTGATGATGCTAATCAAGACTTTCATTTGAATAAGGACAGAGAGAAGGCGTTTCCTGTTAGAGATGAAAGGTACTCTCATATTAAAAAGATGAAAGTTTGGGGAAGAACTGATGAAAACCCTGGTGGTACACAATCCAGGAGAATCATCTGCAATTGTAAAGGAAAATGAAAATTGAATCCTGGATACGATACTGAAAATTCTACAAGTTTGGATTCTTCATCAGACGAGTTTAACTATCCTTATATTTATCGTACAAGTGAATCTAGGATGATCAAAATAAAGAATATAAAAGAGAATATATCAATGGAACCAGAATCGCCATCAAATTTCAACCCTATTGGATTGGCGGCCGAATCTAACACTCCGGCTGTAACACCTGATAAATACATTTGCAGCACTTGTCGCGTGAGTTTTCTAACTCCCCAAGCACTAGGTGGGCACAGATCAAACCACAAAAAGTTCAAGGTGAAGGTTTACAACACCATTGATGATCAGTCTTCAATTGGAGCTTCCTATACGAAAAATGTATCAAAAGCCAATGCGATCAAACAATTGGAAGTAAGTAAAAATGCAGCTTTAAGCTTAAAAGCAGTTCATTAAGATTGTATGATTTGTAACAGTAATGTCCATTCTTATCAGGCTCTTGGAGTTCAAAATCAATGCCACTGCACTGGTGAGTGCAATCATGCTGATCATGTTACATCTATAGATGAAGCAAAAAAAGAGAGAAAAGTTCATGAGTTCGACCTCAATGTGACGCTTGACGAGGATGGCGAAAAGGGGAGGGAGCTTGATAATACAACCAAGGGCGAATCCAGGACTTCAACTCAGCTAGAGCGGCTGTTGATCGTGGGCCATTGACTATTGATAGTCAACGGCCGTATATCGATATCATTTATTAATATTAAATAAAATAATATTAAAAATTCTTTAATCTATATGTAAATACACTAAAACGTAAAAAGCGTATATTTAAATCAAATTATATTTTAATACAATCCGAAATAATATAAATTACATAATACATAAAACGTCTTTGTGTTATCAATGCTTAACAAATCGTTTACTTGACTAAAATTAGTTGAAAAATTAGATACACTACTACAAGAACTAGATTGAGATTCAGTTGAAAAAATCATTCCATAATCAGTATGAGAATTGAATGTGAATCAAAGATTAAATGTAATTAAAATTAATTTTAAAATATAATTAAAGTTTCAATTTCCAATTTTCAACACCAATTCATCACAAATTATAAATTCCCCAATTTCTCATTTTCAATTTTCGTAAATCACATATTCACATTTCACGATACTCAAATTAATTTTTAATATCACAATTCATAGTAGACAAATTCTCAAATAACATATAAATTAAAACTCATAAGTCATATCTTATAAATTATTAAAGCATAAAATATTTGAAACGACAAAAACCAACCAAAAAAAATAAAAAATAGTCATTGACTTGCCCAGAGTCTTAACATATATTATTTTGTTAAATTTAGATTCAAAATTTAATCATTGCCATGATAACCTAAAATTTTTATCTATTATCAACAACAACAAAAAAAAAATTCTCTCTGACGAATCCAGTTAGGGCGGCTGTCCCAGCTGGCCAACCCTTAAATCCGCCACTGAATACAGCTAGTTAGATGGTGTCCATTTGATCTTATTATTGAACTTATAATCCTAAAAATTCTGTGTTCAGCACCTATACTTTAGGCAGTCACAGTCCGTGTTTTCTATAGTTTTTCATCTTGCACAATTTTAGGAAATATTTGTTGAGCCTAGTGTGTGTGTTTACTTATTTATGTGAAAGGAACATTTTCTTAGCCAATTTTTGCTATCTTATTTGGCATTAGTGTGCGTGTGTGTATATATACAGAAATGATCTCCTAAACACCAATGATTAGCTTCTGTTAAGCACCTACATGGCACACCATTTGCACGTGCAGGGGCACAGTCATATACAGTCGAGTGTAGACCGATGCCTACCCTCAACTTTGGGCGCCCCAGTAAAAGGTTTTATTATTTTATTTGCGCCAAAATTGAATGACTTGGCGTGACTAGTAACTTTACCCAAGAAAAAATTGTGAGCATCATGGTTCTCAAAAATGTTCATTAGGTAGTAAGAAAAATTGTAATTTTTTTTTTTTTGTATATAATGAATTTTCCAGATGAAAAGTCTTTAAAAATCTTTAATCAAGATCCACAGAAGGTCGCGGAAGACTTTTATTAATTTTTAACAAATTCATAAAGGTCACTTAAAAGTCCATAAAATCCTAAAAAAACACCAACTTAAAAATGTCTATAGAAATTTTTAAAACACTAAAAGTTTCAATTGAATACATCCCTTTTAAGTCATTGACCAAGGAAGTGGATTCAAGGGTAATAAAGATAGAGTAAGGACGGAATTCAGATTGTTATTTAAGTATGAAATTGAAAACTGCACGACTAATATTGAAGTGGATACACCAACCACATTGAGCCGATCGAACAAAGAGGCTACAATGATGATAATCACGAATTACAAGCTCTATACAGAAGCAACACTTTAATGACCTCCCTCGAGCAGGGACTTCAAACTTGAAGATGAGTCTACTAGAAATGTTACAATATTCATGATTAGCAGAAATACAAACAATAAGAAAAATAGTTTTTTTTCATATATTCATTTTATTTTATTTTATTTTTAATTATACTTTATGTTCATTTATGCAACTATAATATTAAATATTTAAAAAAAAAAAAGAATTGCAAGTATATATATAATATAGGGATTTCGGTTCAAAAAATATGAAAGTCGATACTTTGGTTTAAAAATTTATCTAATTATTGTCTTTAAGATATGCCATTTAAATGTTACCAAACAAGCACTGATTCTGAAAGTATAGATGGGAGAATAAGAATGAAGAAAATTAAATAAAACAAATATAGTTTTTAGTGTGTTATTCTGAAAAATATTAAATATCAAACAAATTTAAATTGAAAAAGTGTATTAAATATAGTGGATGTTAAGATTTGGGATCCATCTTAATAAGGTCAACCTTGTTAAGAGAAGTGACTCAATATCTATTTAAGTTGGTTAATATTTCGATATTTAACCGATGTAGAATTTATTCCCTTAACATGCCTTCGCAAGATGGTGGCTCTTTTTGAGCATACCAATCTTGAAATTCATGTGCTCATTTTTTAGACTCAATCGGATCAAATAACTCGTTGGAGTTTACTGGCTCTAATATCATGTTAAGATTTGGGGCTCATCTTAATAATGTCAACCTTATTAAGAGGAGTGGCCCAAGATTTATTTAAATTGGTCAATATTTTGGTATTTAATCGATGTGAAATTTATTCCCTTAACATGTTCCCGCAAGATGGTGGCTCCTTTATAGCGGACCAATGTTGAAATCCGTGTGCTCATTTTTTAGGCTTAATTGGATCTAATAACTCGTTGGAGTTTAATAGGCTCTGATACCATGTTAAGATTTGGAGTCCATCTTAATAAGGTCAATTTTGTTAAGAGGAGTGACCCAAAATCTATTTAAGTTGTTCAATATTTCGATATTTAATCGATGTGGGATTTATTCCCAAGCTTATGTTGGCAATCAAATCTGTTTTAAAATATTGTCAAAAAAGAACAAACAAGATTTTCAGTTGTAAGTATTTTCCATTTTAAGGACCATTTGTTTCCTAATTAATGGGACAATGAACATTGTGCTGAGTTTGCAACTTCTATTTTTATTTTATTTTTTTTAATTCTGTTTCTTCGAACTTGGGTCTTTAATCTATTAATTATGTAGCACTTGGCTCTTCGCCATACAGAAAGTGTTAATTTAACCGTTTAAAAATTAAGTGCAATGAACAGGAGAACAGGAAAAAGGGATGGCAAATTCCTCCCTCTCCCGACCCCTTGTAGCTTACCTCCTCAATCTCCTCTCTGTGTGCCTACCCTTGCTCCAACTCCCATGGTTCCCTTTTTCATTTTTCAGGCATGCTACAATGACAAAGGGGTCTACAAAGTTAGGTTACAAAATTAAATCTACACCAATCATTTCAAAAACAGATTTTTAAATCATTTAAAATCAAGGGTCTAGATTTTGCCAACACACTTTGGCACTCCACTTTTATACACCAACTTTGTAGGAGTAGAATTATTCTTCATTTTTTATGCGTTTACTTTGGCATTTGGGTTTGGTGGTGGAGAGAAAGAATCGGGCTCAAAGTCGAGCCAGTTAAGCAGAAAAATTCATCTTCTAAAAAGTCGTTGACTTGTTTTCGATTTTTATTTTCTATGTTCATGCCTAAGTCCATTACTCCATTTTATAAAACATTGGAGAAGATGTACAGGGAGGGAGGGAGGAAATTCTTTATTTAAATTGAAAGTAAAAATAAAGTAATTTCTATCAAAATTTAACTTTTTAACGATCAAGTTGATGTTTTCATCCCAAGTACTTCAATATTATAGTTTAAAAATTCAAATGTTATTGAAAAATAGTTAAGATTCAAGTTGGCATTAATCAAAAGTTGGAATTGTAAGTATAATTTTCATGAAAAGAACATAATAAATAATTATAAACTTTCCTTGTATTTTCTTTCTCCGTGATCTTGACAATTATTTAAAGTGCATTTATATTTATTTAAATACGTTATAGGTAAAAAAATTGTATTGTGTTGTAATTTTTGTTTCGCAAGTGTACGACCCGTAACAAGTAATAGTGGACCTAAGAGTCTGGATTGTCGATCCCACAAGGACTATTTTCTAGCATTTAATTCAATTTTTCTTTAACTACTATTTGGCTAAAACAAATTAAAGGTTGTAAAATCTAGGTTTTAATCTAAATTTTAGAAAATAAATGAATGTTCACATGATTGGTTGGAGAATCAAGTAATGAATGGATGTTAGGGTAGAATAACTTCACAAATTGATCACCTTTACATCTCAAATTAAAACTCAATTCTAATGTAGTGCTCGGTCGAATTCTCCTAATGTATTCAATTTACCCCTCTCGAATTCTCATTAAGCCTATTCAACTAATTAAATTTCATATCTTTATGCAAATTCAACTTAGTTAAACGGGTTCTATGTCTTAGGAATTCAATTATGACCGCAATAGATGGTATATGTATCTTTATTCGTTATACCAATGTACTGAATTTTACTACATGGTCTAAATTCTAAACTCATATCTCTATTTGTAAAGAATTTACAAAAATCATCAAATTATTGATCAGATAATTTAATGCATTCAACTCATAGCAAAATCAACACATGGAAGAATTAAAAACTGAACGTCTTAATAAGAGAATGTAAAAGATCCCAATTGGTTACATTATTCCCCCTAACAATGAATTTAGCTACTCATAATACAAGAAGAAAAGTAGGAAATTGTCTTAGAATACATCACCGAGTTTGTAATAAAGATGTAGAAGAAAAAGTAGAATTTTTGCACCAAGATCTCCTTCCTCTTCTAATGAATACTTCTAATATTCAATTACTTGGTGTTAATCTTCTTGAATTTCTCTTTTGAATCTCCCTTCTTGTTGTTTTCTCCCCAATATGTCAAGAACCCCTCAAAAGTATGAGAAAGATGTATTTATAGGTGCCCTTCCGTTTTGTGTAGAAGTAGGATTTTTATGGATTTTAAAACGGCCAAAAAAAATGTGTCCTAGATATTTAGTTGTAGCGCCTAGGCGCTGCCTCTCAGGTTCAAATTTCATCTTTTTTTCAGTTTCGTAGCGCCTAGGAGCTATGAATGCAGCGCCTAAGTGCTGTTTTTCTGCCACAATTCCGTGTTTTTGGCCTCTTTATCCACTTTAATACCTCTTTTCGCATCGCCTCTCCTAATCTTCAAAACAACA